TCTTTCTTTCTTTCTGTCTTTCGGTCTTTCTGTCTTTCTGCCTTTTATTCCTTTGTGTGCTGTGTTTTGCTTGTGTTTTGCTTATGCAGAGGAATAGTTTGTTTTTGATCTGTGAATAGTTTTTTTTGATCCCGGAAATAGTTTTTTTTGATCCCTTAAATAGTTTTTTTTTGACCCCTCTCCCTGTCGCAGCCGCCGGATCTGCCTCAAAAGCTTCTCGCCACCTCAGCATCTGTTTTGAATGATTCAAGGGTTTTTGCTCTCTCAATTGCTTCTCGAAAGCAGCGAGCTCCCCAAACCAACAAGCCTCCGACGATGGCTTGCCTCCTGGCTGATTTGGCGACAGCTGCTTAACCTCTGGGTCTTGGCGTGATTCAGCAACCACATGCGCACAAGCGCCTTCTTGAGTCCTTGAGTGAGTCATTGGCGGTTGGCTTCCTCCTACACACCTCTGCAACTATTGGACTTGCCGTGACTGGCCATGGGGCTGCTTTGAGCTTCATGGCGAAATCCTGGTTGACGCCTGTGTGGGGTCTGCTGTGCTTTCCCACATCCCCACACCAAAAGCTGATGAACACCTGCACTGCAGGCCATTCATAAGAAGCGTTTCCCCTCAGGCCTCGGTCAGGAAGGTCCGGACGCATGGCCTGGTGTAGTAAGACGTGGAAGTCGAACCGTGTACGGCGTTGTTTCGTGAGGATGTGCACGTGAGGTTCCACTTGCATCCCGTGCGTATGCATGGCCTATCCGGCGAGGCTTCCTTGCAGGCCACACCCCTGGGTTCCAAACCTAAGAACATCCTCAAATCCCCTGGCTGTAGCCCCTTGAAGCGCTAAATCCGCCGTCGATCGGCAACAACAGCATCAGCCAACCAGATCCACCCCCAAGTAGCCTATCAAACTTGAAAGTGGAGGAGTCACAGCAACACGAACAGCAACAAGCAATTCATGTATCTGGTATGTCGGAGCACAGGCAGACCCTGAAGTTCCCTGAAGTAGTAGAGAAACTTCGGATTCGCACGAAGGGAGGAGTCATGTCCGATGCTTTGGCACTTGGTTCCTGCCAGCCTCCAAGCGCTCCAACAACAGCCCGACTTGTTGGACCTCCACGTCGAAAGCTTCCCGGAACCTGTCGCTTCAGTAGGCGAAGAAAGGGTCTTTGCATGTCCTTCTAGCAATGGCAACGTTAAGACTTCTGCTAGTCAAAACAGCGATGACTACAACTAACAAGATCATGATCCCGCAGAGATCGGCCAAGAAGATGATCAAACACAAATGAGCTAGCGGCACTGAATGCAATCTATAGTAGTCTATAAATACATGGCTGTACTTGGCTTCATGTTGCTACGGACGCAGGGGCACAGCGCACATTTTCATGAATTTGATGCGTGCACCTCACAGAGCAGAGCTCGACATCCAAGCTTACAGTATCTCGTGGCAAAAGGTTTCAGATCCCACGGCTAAGCATCCAGCACTTTTTCAGGATCATCCGGAACCTGCCTCTCGTCCTGCTCATGGTGCAGCACCAGAGACAACCAAAACATGATCGCTGTCCCCATAGCACTGCCTTCATACTCAGCCTCAGAAGCGAAGCAGCAAGTTTCCAACGTCAATCTCGTGACCTCTGCTGCTCGAAGCCGCGTAGAGCTTGGCCGCCACAGTCTTGCATGTCCAAGCCTGACAGGAGGGTCTGTGCAGTCCGGAACAGTGGCCTTCTTGCACCCAAGAAGCGTTGCCTAGCCAGGGCGGCAGCCGTCAAAGCAGATCGGGTGCGGCCACCCGTGGACGCTCGAGGTGTCTGGCGCTGGCACCTAAGCGCCCGCTTCTTTGCTACTCGACTGTGAATGTTCCACAATGGCTTTATATACATCTACTTACTTCCTAATGCGGCTTCAGTTGGCAAATCTTGGCTAGGCGGCTGAACGGCTAGATGTGAGGACCCAGCCGTGTGCGGACCGCAGCTGGATCTGCGCGGAAGGCCTGGAACTCAACAGTTGCTTCGAGGGCTCGGCACGATGAGCCGCAGTCATATGGATTCGCGTTGCCAAAGTTTGCTGCAGACTCAAAACTCAAAACACACCCGTCACGGCTTCCTCTCGTTTGTGGTTTGCAGTCTTGGGACTCGACAACTTCCACGCTGATGTTGCATGTACAAGTCTAGTTAACTACCTGATGCACCATGCTCGGAGATGATTCGGAGTCCGGCACAGCAAGACGGCCTTCTTCGCTGAAGAACTGTACAACCGAAAGCTGCCTGATGCCCTTGATTTTCGAAGGTATATAGAGCTCGTCTCCAGCAGTGTACCCTGGACGCAGTTTTTACCTTTGCAGACTCGGTCGCGGCTGGTTCGGCACGACGGGGGATCTATGCAAACAAACAGGTCTTCCTTTGGAAGGCCCGAGAGCGGCAGCAGGCAGCCGCTCCTCGAACTTGCGCACGAAAGCTGCCGGTGTCCATGTTTCGGCATGACAAACCAGACTTTCTGCAGCCCAGGGCTCCATATGCTACAAGGGGACAGCGGCCACTTTTCCGTTGCTGGAAGATGTTGGCGCGAAAGGCTTCCTCAAGAGACAGGGGAATCCAAACTCGATCAGCCGTAGATGAGATCATGCAGCCATGTGCAGCCGCCCCGTGGCATCATGCGCGGCTTTGCCCCACATGTTGAGCCAAGCAGCTCTTTGGAAGTCACATAGCGGGCCAGCAGGTTGGGAAGCCAACAGCAGCTCCTTCCTTGGTTTAACATGGAACGGGATGTGCATGGGAGCGTTAAACGGCAGAGTAGGGCCTGACGGGACATCGGCGGCTACAAGAAATTACCGGTGCACTCGAGAATCCATCGGAGCCTCTGGCTGAATTCATAAGCATCTCGTTGATGTCTGGGATCGAACGAGCCCTGGTCACACCATTTTTGTGAGTACTTCCTTTTTAGCCACCCGAAGCTCCCCTAGCAGACTTTTACACTTGTGGTGTGGCCTCTGAAGGCCACGGTCCAGAATCTGCCCGATCCGAGCTTTGGGCAGGCAGCGCTCGACGGCACAGCGTCGCCAGAAGTCGAGGCTGGTAACCACCTAGAACAATTCAAGCATCAATGCATCCGACCGTGCTCGAGGAAGGTGCGAGAGGAGCCGGCTCACAATTGCATGAGAAACACCATCTCGTGTATTCTCGAAGTGCAAATTGACACTTTGAGCTGCCAAGGCTGTGGCGCATTGGTCACCGCCACGACACGACTCCACCCTACCTGGTCACTGCTGGGGCTGTGTCCAACATACACACCAACTTGACTAGCAGCACAATGACCATTAGGCGTGCCACCCGCCATCGATGGTCAAGACGAACCCCAACATGCCCACACTGCCCGTGCTCTCCAAGACTGTCTGTGACACCAGGCACAGCAATTAAGCTAATTAAGGTTTCTGGGGACACCATCCTCGTGATAGTCGGCGTTTTCGGAGGATCAGGTCTTCGCTGACACGAAGAAGTCTCGATCCGTGTGACTGTCGATGTTGTTGTCGTGGGCAAGCTGTGGGTACAGTTGTCGGTGCAGAACCGATCACAGTAGGACAGAGAATGCTACTAGTACAACGTGCCGGATTCTAGAACAATTGTTTGAGCAAGATTGCCAGGCAATCGTACTTGCCCAGCATTGCCAGCAATCTTGGTCTGAAAAATAAACTAGTCGGCGAGCAGGCGGGGCAAGACGACCAAGATGACTAAGATTGCCAGCGGCCGGCCGACCAAGATCGCAAGATTACCAGTGGCCGAACATTATCAATTCCGGCACAATGTACTAGTAACAGTTTCTAACAAATACTAGTAGGCGCAACATGTTGCAACCGTGTCTAGCTTAAATGTCAACTCCCGTCGGTGAAGCAAAACACGGCATGATGGATAATCGGAGACCAAAAAAGCACGACCCAAAACAACCCCGCAGGTACCACCCCTCGGGGCAGGGTTGGAGACAAAGAAGGCGGCATCCCTCCGGGAGTTTGGGGTTTGGGGGGAGGCTGAGGCCCAGGATCAATGCCAGGGAACCGATCAAGCCAAGGCCACCCTCGCGGCGGCTGAAGGAGACCAGGGCCGACGGCCCCAGATCTGCCTCTGCACGATCTTGAGGGGGTGTCAAACCGATGAGGGCCAGACTGTTAGACCCTGTTCGCGGTGTCAGAGCAGACATAAGGCTTCGATGGCCGTCTGTAGTTGCAGAAGATCGACAAAAGATCGCGCCTGGATCAACTCCACAGGTTGTTCGCTTGCGACTTCGCCCTTCGCATGGAATTCGCCGAGCCACCTGCGAAGAAGCCACTAGCAGGATTACGGCAACTTGCAACACCTGCGGTTGCTCCATCCTTGTTTAAATCCTGCAATGTGCCATGTTCAACCGCCAGAATGATTGAAGTCGTTGGGCACACACAATTCAAGCGGGAAAAGTCCACGACAACCCCCAGAATCATGTCTGTACTGTCTCTGTTGATAGTTAGGTTGATTTAGAGCAAACCGCTGCCCGTCGGGCATGGTGGCCCCTGCAGTTTGAAGAGCGGACTATGGCCTTTTTCAGGATCTGTTGTGGGGGGTTGTTGGACGCTTGCAGCCGCATGTTAGAAAGTCGTGTTCTGCATGTTGCGTCTGCCTGAAAAACACAACTTTTGCATCCAGGTCACTAGCCGGGTTAACATGCCGTGCGGGAGGCTTTCAGCCAATGCGTGCGCAGCATGCTCACAGAAGTGAGGCTTCACAATGTCGACAGGAAGTGCTTGGTAACAGATTTTAACAAATTCTGTGTACAGCATGTTGAAAGTATTACCGTGAGCCTCATATAGTACACCTAATGCGCACACTGCAAAGCACAACCGGAGTCATGTACTTATGTCAAGTGCAAAACATGCTGCAAGATGAATACGGACACCGTTTCCGGACCTTCGCGAACCAAGGGTGTGCTTAGAGGTCAGAGCATCACGAAAACTAGAAATGGGGTTTGTGTGTCTGTGCTTTGAAGGTGGAGTGCATCGGTTCGGACCTCCCTGGGTGTGCTCTAGATAAGTGCACCCTGGTGCACCCGTTTGGAGGTTCTTCGTGTTTCTTCGTCAGGGGCTGGCCTCAGACGTTTGGAAATCTTGGTCTCAGCTCTGACAGAAGCCGGGAAGCGCCAAGAATTCATCACACTGTGAAGCTCAGAAACGGAATTAGCGGTGGGCCTGTTCAGGAAAGGTCGTGCCAGCTGAACGGCTGGCGAATTCAGGACAAGCTCCGGCTGCTTGAGAATCTCTTCCGGTAAGTGCTCGTTGGTCAAATACATCATTAGCTTGTCGCCTGCGGTCTGGCACTCCTATGCGAATCCCTCAATGTGACGATAGCAATCTAGTTAGTTGCCGCTGTTCCGAGGTCACTACGCCGAACAACAATACGACCTGGCTTAAGTTTGCGCATGTAGAACGGCAACATGCTGAATGCCTGGGCAGCCGGGCAGCTAAAATGATTGCAGTTGTGAGTCAAGGCATCATAAGCGTTCTTGTGGAACTCATGTGCTAGGTCGATTCCAATGTGATGGATCACCTCCTCCCGGCTCTTGTATGTGTAACCTCACATGGCAAGCTCACTCTGCTTCACATGTATACAAAACTAGTGCATGGCCGAGACTACGAAACAGGCAGACATTTTCCGCCGATTGGCCCATGAATCGCCTTTCGATTGGCTGACCAAACGGCGTGGTACATGGAGTTGAACAGAACACCTTCCCCCCATACCAGAACTCGGAAGGCTTTTCGACAAACTCGACCATGACGCCAGTGTGCCAGAAGGCACGGAATTGTGGCCCCAAAAGCCACAACCAAGAGTTCGCCCTACCATCCGTGATGTCGTACATCCTGAGATTGAGATGATGAAAAACGGATGCTTACTGCAGCTCGCTCATGCCGACTCTCCGCCAAGTTGCAACAAATACACTTTTTGCCTTCTGCGGCCCAACATGATGCTTAAGAAATCGTGGTAGGTCAACTCCTCGTCCTCTTCCAAGGCCAGCTGGCCTCCGAAACAAACAAGTCGAACTTGCAACAATAGTTTTTTTTGCATATCGCCTGGTTAGGACAATCAGTATACATACACACTCGCTCCCATATAGTGCAACCTTGTTCACCTGTGTTTTCGGGTTTGTCACCCGACGGAGTCTGCCAAAATATTCAGACCGTAGAACCCCTTGTGAGCCGCCTGGCCAGATGTGACCTGTATGATCTCCAATCTCGTCAATATCCACAATGCAATGAAAAACATGAGGAAACAACTTCTACAACAGAAACACAAATGCCAAAGGCGTGCTAAGCTTTTTTGAATCTAACGGCGATCTGCCAACTAAAATGGGTCCAGCAATTTTAACGGGCTTGGTGCTCATCACATTACCCGCGCCTAGGTGTTCAGGAAAACAGGACATGATTCCATAATACCAAGTGCCTTGCGCGTGCCGGCGCAAAATGTCCTGCGCCCAATACTTCTCCATCACTTGGTCAGGGAACACTTCCATAGCATGGCATGCCTGGCCGGCAGGTTGCAGACGGTCAGTGGCAGTGACAAAGTGGGGCTTCGACCGGTGTGGATTTCTCGACACATGCCCTGGCAATGCTACCTGCTATCTTTCAGCCAGACAAACGCGAACAGGTGCTGGCAAAGCAAAGCGCCACGCTGCCTCTATCAAACCATCCAGTGGCAGCACCAAGCGACTGGTGGCACCAGGTACCACCGCTCCAAACGCTTCGAAGATTGCTTGCAGTCTTTCCAGAACCTGCGAACGGCAATGCAAAACTTGTGCTGGCAGAACCTGCGCACTAGTCTCGCACATATAAAAGAGGAAGTGCGAGCCGCAGTCTGCAACTCAATTCCCAACAGGAAAAGAACGCCCGAGAACATCGAACACATGCAGTTGAAGCTGAAAACACACACAAAAGGACCGCGCGATCAGCTGTGATTTGGTGGCTTGCATTGTTTTCATCCTCATTGGAGCATGTGACACGCCGGTCGGCGCAGTAGACCCGTACAGACCAGGGGAAGATGCGACCCTGCACGGCCTGCAATCTCTGCCCATCCATGAAAGCCGTCAACTGTGTTCCAGCGTTGAGTTAGAACTAGACTTGAACATGTTTCGAGAAGCCTCCAAGCAATCAAGAGTCCTGAAACAACCGTCTACGGTCCGGATGTACGAATGAAAATATCAACAACCCATCGTGTTGCAACGGAGCATGAAGCTGAAGGCCCAGGCCATAGAACGCTGAGTTTGACATATGTCGGGACACGAAAGTGTGTCCGGAAATATCGCAGCAGGTGTGTGCCTCCTTTCCAACCTCTATAGAAAAGATTTTCTACCTCATTTTTGAGCGAGGTCTCTCTGGCTTTCGCACCTCTTGAAACAGCAACCCTGCGATTCTGATTGGCGGATAAATCGACGGCAAAAAACCGTACCGTACCAGTATTTCGTGTTGCCTTAGCTCACGTTCCGGCTACGCCGTGTGCTCGCGCAGGAGCACGCGGATCGCCCCCCCCCCCNNCCCCCCCCCCCCCCCCCCACATGCGATTTTCTTTTCAAGCCTCAATTTCTTCTGGGTCGCAAACATGCTATTGAGTTCTTATTCTAGCTTCGGTATCTGTGAGCAATACAATCTAGCCTCGGCCACCTAAGCAATAAATGGAACATATTGGGGCGTATGGAAAGCACGTGCCCCCAGAGACGATATTCAATATTCAAGTTTGAAAATTCCCAAGCGGCTTCTATATTCCTCAAGCTGCAATCTTATGCACGCCTGACATTGCGACACCAGTACGAGGGTCCTGTCCTACATCATGTGCTGCACGGACATGCAAAAAACTGCCTTATGAGTTCGTCTTCAAGGCCCTGCCTTCGGATCGTATTGCATGGCCACGCGCAAGCGGTCATTTACTTCCGCAACTAGGGCGGAGGAAGGCTCCTCCATTTGGAGAGCCCAATAGTGCAGCCATTCCTCTTTGCAGATGCCTGGGTGGTCTCGCAGGGAAGCCGACCGCATGACCTCTCAGCTTGAGCGCACACATGAGTGCATGGCACACTGCTATTAGCGGGAACATTGGTTTTGCGACCGAGAAAGCTGCGACAAGCAAACGATGAACCAGCTAAAACAAAATGTGCAAACGAGGGGCTTCGCGAACGGTTTCACTCAACAACTCGTCGTCCACAACCGCCCCTGGCCAACTACGCAACAGATCGTCTTCGGTAAGGATTTGCTGCGAATCTTCAACCGCGGTAGCCATGTGGCAGAAACTCTCTTTACATTTGTCGAGATCCCACATACCTGATTCCTGCACCGTTTCCACGAGAGTGAAGCGTATGGATCGGACTCGGCCCGTTTCCCTGTCTGTCCGGGTCATGGCTTCCAAGTCGATGACATAGCTTCCACCATTGTAGTACACGGCGAAAGTCCGAATACAAGCATCCCGTTTCCTGATGATGTCTAGGCTTTCGGATGGGGTCAAAGCCTGCCAATCTCCACCACGCCAAATTTCGACAACCTCATCCAGCTCGATTCGGATGGATATGGTCTTGCCCACTGCAAGTTCGCGCCGTCGTGGTTGCGGCATAGCTGTGGGGTCATGACTTCCGCTCGCTGCGGTGCGGCCTGGGTACTACTTTTAGTTCGAGGCACAACGGCAGCAAAAGAGCATGTACCTAAAGTGCATGATTCAAGCCTCCGGCATGGATGGCTCGATACTTCATGCAATCTTCATACATCACGATACTCACCCGGCAGGTGGTGACGCAACACACAGTGTTTCCTGGCAACCTTTGCGCCCAGGTCCCGGCGTCAGCAGCACACGCCACGCGGACTTCCATGTGGCATCCAGGCCATGAATGGGTGGAATCACAATCGCTTGAAGCTGGGCAAACTCAGAATATGTATTCAAAGGCTGGTAAGTACAAAACTACCAAGCGTGTCAAAACTCATGACGACACGACCACCACCCGGCAAACACGAACCGGGCATTTATGTAGGTCAGGCACTTTTGAATGAAGCAGATTCCAGATTCATGGCTCATGATTGCAACTGGCTGAATAAGCTTGGGATGTAACAAGTAACAACCTGCAGAGAATGGACAACCTCAAAATCGGCAAAGCTGAAAGCTGGCTTTTACAAAAAGGGGCCTTTTCGGGATTCAGGTTGGTCGACAACTCGAACAGGGTTGGTAAAATCGGACGTCTACCGGCAGAAGGTCAGGTCGATCGAGGTGGCTTCGCAAGGGGGACGTTTTGCAAATGCTTAATGATACTGTCGGCGTTGAAAC